GCAGAAAAAGCGAAGTGCCAAACGGATCTCTGTTCCTGACACTTCTGCTACCTCTCTGGGCCAGGCACGGTGACTCATGCCTGTAATCCCAGCACTTTGGGAGGTTGAGTGGGCGGATCACTTGAGGCCAGGAGTTCGAGACCAGACTGGACAACATGGTGAAACCTAGTGTCTACTAAAAATACAAAACTTAGCCAGGCGTGGTGGCACATGCCTGTAATCCCAGCTACTTGGGAGGCTGAGGCACAGGAATCACTTGAACCTGGGAGGTGGAGGATGAAGCGAGCCAAGATCACTCCACTGCACTCCAGCCTGAAAGACAGAGTGAGGCACTGTCTCAAAAAAAAAAAAAAAAAAAGAAAAAAGAAAAACGACTATGGTTAAAAAGTGGGCCATCCAGTTTCTCTCCCTTCAACATTAGCTAAAGGTATTATTTGTAGGTTTTTACTATTTAATTTTAATACTTTACAACATCTATGTCTTAACCCATTTTGCACCATTATAATTTTTACCCATGCTTTATGTTTTCTGTTTCCTAAGGGGATCAAATTCTTCTCTGACGATATAGAAATCAATCCATACACATTCATACTTGGTCCATATTCACATGTCAGTGTTTTAATAATAATTAACATATGTATTTTTATACCCTATCTTGCTACAAAGGGGATTTGAGGTAGCTAATGAAAATGCATATGAACAAACACTGAAGAATTCAATAGATTTTTTAGGCTGGGCACGGTGGCTCTCACAGACAGTTATAATGAAAAAATATGATTTTAAAACATTCTTAGGAAAAAACCAACAACAACATAATAGGGAGAAGATAGTAGAATACAAAATCTACTTAATCTTTTTTTTTTTTTTTTTGGGAGACAGCATCTTGCTCTGTTATCCAGGCTGGAGTCCAGTAGCGCAATCATAGCTCACTGCAGCCTCCAGTTCCCGGGCTCTCATCTTAGTCTCAGTTCCATAAATCATTGCATTTCCTTTATATGCATATTACTTCTCAATTCCAATATCAATGTGCTTTAAGCTGCCTTCAAAAATAGTATGATTCCCTCATGCCTGTAATCCCAGCACTTTGGGAGTCCGAGGCTGATGGATCACGAGGTCAGGAGATTGAGACCATCCTGGCTAACATGGTGAAACCCCGTCTCTACTAAAAATACAGAAAAAAAATAGCCACGCATAATGGCACGTGCCTGTAGTCCCAGCTACTCAAGAGGCTGAAGCAGGAGAATCGCTTGAACCTGGGAGGCAGAGGTTGCAGTGAGCTGGGATCGTGCCACTACACTCTAGCCTGGGTGACAGAGCGAAACTCTGTCTCAATAATAATAATAATAATAATTCCAAAAATAAAACGTATGGAAAACTTAAGAAAATTTGTAGCTCAGGGGATTAAAATTGACATTTTAATATGCCCAAGATGTCAGATCTCTGAGGATAGCAAGAGAACCAAAAAGTGGAATGACTTCCATTTTATCAACCTAATGACTTCAATTTGAACAACATTTTAATATCTAAAAAAGGCAGAGGCAAAAATAGAACAGAATGGCTCAAATTTCAACTCACATTTTCTTGAAGTGGGCTTAGGAAGGTCAAATAATTCTTTTTTCTTTTAAGACAGAGTCTCACTCTGTTGCCCAGGCTGGAGTACAATGGCGTGATCTCCACTCACTGCAACCTCCGCCTCCCAGGTTCAAGCAATTCTCCTGCCTCAGCCTTCTGAGTAGCTGGAACTACAGGCGTGCGCCACCACACCCGGCTAATTTTTATACTTTTAGTAGAGACGGGGTTTCACCATGATGGCCAGGCAGGTCTTGAACTCCGGCCTCAAGTGATCTGCCCACTTGGCCTCCCAAAGTGCTAGGATTACAGGCTTGAGCCACCGTGCCCGGCCCAAATAAACCTTAAAAAGTCAAACTCACAGAATCAGAGAACAGAGGTTGCCAGGAGCTCGAGGTGGAGGAAATAAAGAGATGTTGCATTAGCCGGGAGTGGTGGCGCACGCCTATAATCCCAGCTACTCAGAAGGCTGAGGCAGGAGAATCACCTGAACCCAGGAGGTGGAGGTTGCAATGAGCCAAGATCGCATCAGCCTAGGTGACAGAGGGAGACTCCACCTCAGGAAAAAAAAAAAGACTAGAAAAAAAATTTCAGCTTAAAATGTTCTTACTCCTTCAACAGAACAAGATACTAATGGTTGACAGATATCTACTAGTCAAATCAAAGCATTTATAAACAACAAGGGAAATAAAATTCATTGAGCTGGGAGAAAAAAAAAAGATGATGGGCAAAGGGTAAAAAGTTTCAGTTACGGCTGGAAGTGGTGGCTCATGCCCAGCACTTTGGGAGGCTGAGGTGGGCCAATCACGAGGTCAAGAGATAGAGACCATCCTAGTGAAACCCTGTCTCTACTAAAAACACAAAAATTAGCTGGGCATGCTGGCGGGTGCCTGTAGTCCCAGCTACTCAGGAAGCTGAGGCAGGAGAATCACTTCAACCCAGGAGGCGGAAGTTGCAGTGAGCTGAGATTACACCACTGCACTCCAGCCTGGGCAACAGAGCGAGACTCCTTCTCAAAAAAAAAAAAAAAGTTTCAGTTATAGGATGAGTAAGTTCTGGGAATCTAATGTACAGCATGGTGACTATAGTTAGTAATATATTGCATACCTATAAAATACTAAGAGAGTAGGTCTTAAATGTTATCACCACACACATAAAAATGGTAACTCTATGAGGTGATTAATGTGTTTGCTAATTAGCTTAATTGTGGCAATCATTGTGCAAGGTATACATATATCATCACATTGTACACCTTAAATATATACGTTTACTTACCCATGATACCTCAATAAAGCTGGGAAAACGAAAAAGAGGGTCAAACACTTGCACTGAACTCCTAAATATATATGTGGCATTGCGTTGAATCAAATCCCTACTGAGAAAGCCTGAGCATAGCAAATGCATCCAGAATGAGAACAGTTCTTGCAGAATCCTAATGTTTTTCACTTGGAAGGGGGCTTGGAGGTGTCGAGTCTAACCTTTCACCTACATATTCCCACGACATACCTCTGTACGTGGTAATCTAGCCTCCGAATGCTTTTGATGCCTTGAATCTGCTGCTAACAAACAGGCATGATGAAAATGGTTGCAACTGAGGAAGCAGAATAGCCCTGGATAAACGCTTCCTTCTCTGATAAAGTAAAATGTTTTTACTCCAAATATCAAATGCTCTTGATTGCATGCTATTTTAAAAACACATACTTGGGGCCGGACACGGTGGCTCATGTCTGTAATATCCCAGCACTTTGGGAGGCTGAGGCGGGCGGATCACCTGAGGTCAGGAGTTCAAGACCAGCCTGGCCAACATGGTGAAACCCCATCTCTACGAAAAATACAAAAATTAGCCGGGTGGAGTGGTGGGCGCCTGTAATCCCAGCTACTTGGCAGGCTGAGGTGAAAAGAATCACTTGAACCCAGGAAGCAGAAGTTGCAGTGAGCCGAGATCCCACCACTGCACTCCAGCCAGGGCAACAGAGCGAGACTCTGTCTCAAAAACAAAAACAAAACAAACATACTTAGAAAATGAAAGACTGACCTCTATTCCTAGCAAAAAATGCACCCAGGTTGGGTCCAGCTCAACAGTGACCTAATTCCTTTTCTTATCTTTCTTCCATGCAGATTATGACCTGTTTCCTTCCCAAGGTGCCAATTCATCATGCAGAGTACTGCCACCCAGAAGGCTTTACCAAGCATTTTCTAAGGTGCCCAAGGAAAGTGGTGGACAAAGCTGGAGGAGGTGGTACCTCATTCAGCACTGGTGAATCTGCCTCTGGCCAACTGGTTATTTATGCCACATTCAAAAAATGAGAAAAAAATTGAAAAAGAAAACAAGTTTGTACATTATTTCTTTCCAATTCCTTGCAGCCAACCTTTGGGGCTAAAGGGCATTATTGACAGAGTAAAAACATCCTTACACGTTTTGCATATTATGCCTACGTGTGTGCACAATGGCACACACACATACGTGTTATGTGTGTACTTGTGTGTGTGTCACCTGTGTGTGCCTCTGTGTGTATGTGCATGTGTGCCTCTGTGTGTACGTGCATGTACGCCTCTGTGTGTACAAGTCCGTGTGTGCCTCTGTGTGCACAAGTGCATATGTGCCTCTGTGTGTATGTGCATGTGTGCCTCTGTGTGTATGTCACCTGTGTGTGCCTCTGTGTGTATGTGCATGTGTGTGCCTCTGTGTGTACGTGCATGTGTGCCTCTGTGTGTGCATGTGTGCCTCTGTGTGTACGTGCATGTGTGCCTCTGTGTGTACAAGTCCATGTGTGCCTCTGTGTGCACAAGTGCATATGTGCCTCTGTGTGTATGTGCATGTGTGCCTCTGTGTGTATGTCACCTGTGTGTGCCTCTGTGTGTATGTGCATGTGTGTGCCTCTGTGTGTACGTGCATGTGTGCCTCTGTGTGTATGTGCATGTGTGTGCCTCTGTGTGCACAAGTGCATGTGTGCCTCTGTGTGTACAGAATCCATGTGTGCCTCTGTGTGTACGTGCATGTGTGCCTCTGTGTGTACAAGTGCATGTGTGCCTCTGTGTGTGCGATGCATGTGTGCCTCTGTGTGTACGTGCATGTGTGCCTCTGTGTGTACAAGTGCATGTGTGCCTCTGTGTGTACAAGTCCATGTGTGCCTCTGTGTGTATGTGCATGTGTGCCTCTGTGTGTACATGCATGTGTGCCCTCTGTGTGTACACAAGTGCATGTGTGTGCCTCTGTGTGTGTACGTGCATGTGTGCCTCTGTGTGTACAAGTCCATGTGTGCCTCTGTGTGTATGTGCATGTGTGCCTCGTCCATGTGTGCCTCTGTGTGTATGTGCATGTGTGCCTCTGTGTGTATGTGCATGTGTGCCTCTGTGTGTACGTGCATGTGTGTGCACATGCATGTGGCTCTCACACATCCAGTTCACTCTCTGGGTAATTAACGTCATACCTGCCACTGGTTTCCTGTCTGACCAGGCACATAAGGTCCTGGGAGGCCCCGAAGGCTGTTCTTCACAGGGGATCCCCCGAGGGGATTTCCCACCTCCCCAGAAGCAGAATCAGCAGCCAAGGCCATGGAGTACTGCGGGTAGTTGTATAGATTGTTGTAGTAAGGAAACAGAGGTGGCTGGTAGAAGCTGCTGTAGTAGGTGGAGTCTGAAACCAGGTCAGGTGTGTTCTCCACGTGCCCTCTGCTGGTGACAGCAGGAATATCCTGGATGACCATACGTCCCTCTAAATTGGAAGAAAAAAGAAAGACAACATGGTGTTAATGTGAGTCCACGAAACTTTACCTCTATACCTTCCTACTCAACACCTGTGGAGGAAGGCACCTGAATATGCAGAGGACAAAACCATCTGTTGCTTCTCCTATAGCCAAAATAAGGGAGGGTTTCTAAGGTTCATTGCACTCTGGTGGCACAACCAGAAGACTCAGATGATTGTTTTTACTGACAGTACCAAAACCATTTTAGAGGTGATTTGAATTACATAAAGCCCAACACCACAACTTCTATCCAGAAATTCCTATCCTAATGTCAAGATACTGAAGATCAAATCTAGTTGACCTGATTGTGCATTCTTAAAACAAAATTAATTGTAGCCACATAGATATGCCAGAAGGTCAAAGCAAGTGGTCAAGAGTTTAAGTGAATTTAGGTGAACACTGTTTCCTTAACTTCCTTCCACAGCTGATCATGTATCTTCAGAAATCTGGCCAAAGGTATGGACCATGGGCAAACTTCTAGTGTAAGAGGTCAGTAACTATTTCAGGCTTTCTCAACTATTCAGTCACTGCTGCAGCATGCTTGTGCTGCAATAAAACTTTATTTATAAAAATAGGCAGTGGGCTGATCTGACCCAAAGACTAGTTTGCCAACCTCTGGCATAGACATTAAACAGTTTATTGTCAATTCCAATAAATGAAGTCCTAAGTTACCCATCCAATGGACATTTATTAAACAATGTTCTAAGAGCCAGTCCGGGTGCCTGAAACGTCTGCCAGCCTGTCTTGCCCACAGGGAGTCTACAGTCGAGGATAGAGGATAAGAAGGGATTACAAATACCACCACCTGCCATCATACAGGAAGACCCATAAACTTTCATGGGAAGTCACAGGAAAGAGAGACGGTGTATTAGGAATTCATGGACAAAACTACACCTGAGTTGCACTCAAAAAAAGGACACAGGTGAAAAATGAGAAAAGGAGAGGAAGGAGAAAGGGCCAGCAAGGACAAAGGAGTGGAAGCAGGAAAGTGGGGATAGAGTTTGGAATGATGGGCAGGGCAATCAGGCTGAGGAACTGAATGAGAAAAGGGAAGGAGACATCCAGTATGAAAGATGGGCTAGGGTAAGGTGAGGCGGGCCTCAGTCCGGCTCTCCTGACTCTGGGATGTAATGGGAACCACTGAGTTCTGAGCAAGGAGGTTACACCATCAGAGCTGTGCTTGGAGGAGATTTATCTAAGGGCAATTGCTCTGGGCAAGTGATGGAGAGAGAGATCAGAGGCAGAAAGACCTGCTAGGGAACCACCAAAGTAGTTCAGGGACAGATCTATAAGGCCTGCAAATACAAGAGAGGAGCCTGTTCCAGGGACATGTGGAGGATGAAAAGCAACAGAACTGGAGGGCTGAGGGGTTGCCAGGAATTAAGATGCAGGAAAGGCAGAGAGCAGGAGCCTGGGTGTGTAGAGCAGAGGGCGGGCAGGCGCGCAGGTGGAGGCTGGGTGAGGGTGAGGAACATGAAATGCGTGCTTTTGGGAGAGGCTGAGACTGGAAGCCAGATCCAAGAGCCACCACTGGAGGTGCTAGCTCCATCTGGGCAAGGAAGGGAGGAGCTGTTATGGAATAAAGGAGAGCCAACGCCAGGAGTGCGAAAAACAGAGAATACAATGTCAGGGAGCTTAAAGCTGACATGAATCACAGAGCGAGCAGGCTGTGGTGTCAACTGCTGCTAGGACATCAAGCAAACAGTTCTGGAAAAGACCAACACACAACTAGGTCTTCAGGGCCTTGCGGTTTTAACCATGATGAAAGGAGCAGACACAGGCCTGCCAGACAGCAAGGAGCAACAAGCAACAAGAAATCCAAAGAGATGACTCCAGTGAATGGCCTCTCTCCTACCAAGACTGCCAGGACGCAAGCAGGCACCCAGCCTCTGGGCACGCCACTGTGTCCTCCACGCTTAGCACACTGCCAGACACAGTGGGTCAACATTTGCTGACGGGACTGAGGAATAATCATTTTTCAAGTAGCTTGGCATCAAAAATCATGTGAGTTAAAAGTAAAAGCTCCAGCTAGGCGCGATGGCCCATGCCTATAATCCCAGCACTTTGGGAGGCCGAGCCAGGTGGATCACGAGGTCAGGAAATCAAGACTATCCTGGCTAACACGGTGAAACCCTGTGTCTACTAAAAATACGAAAAAAAAAAAAAAATTAGCCAGGCATGGTGGCACACGCCTATACTCCCAGCTACTCAGGAGGCTGAGGCAGGAGAATCTCTTGAACCCGGGACGTAGAGGCTGTAGTGAGCTGAGATCCGGCCACTGCACTCCAGCCTGGGCAACACAGCAAGACTCCGTCTCAAAAAAAAAAAAAAAGTAAAAGCTCCAGGGAGTCATAAGATCTTGTCGTTTCACTTTTACTTTGTTTATTTATTTGAGACAAGGTCTCACACTGTGGCCCAGGCTGGAGTGCAGTGGCGCGATCTCGGCTCACTGCAACTTCCTCCTCCTGGGTTCAAGCAATCCTCCCGCCTCAGCCACCCAAGTAGTTGGGAATACAGGCACAAGACACTATGCCTGGCTGATTTTTGTATCTTTTTTAAGTAGAGACGGGATTTCACCATGTTGTCCAGGCTGATCTCGAACTCCGGAGCCCAAGCAATCTGAATTTTAATAAGCTCTTAGGAGATTCGTTTTTGTTTTTGTTTTTGTTTTAAAAGGGTCTCACTATGTTGCCCAGGCTAGTCTCAAACTCCTGAGCTCCAGCGATCGACCCACCTTGTCCTCCCAAAATGCTAGGATTACAGGCATGAGCCACTGCACCTGGCCTTGTTTCACTTTTTAAAAAGGTTTAAGGCAGGGCGCGGTGGCTCATGCCTGTAATCCCAGTACTTTGGGAGGCTGAGGCAGACCTGATCATTTGAGGTCAGGAATTTGAGACCAGCCTGACCAACATGGTGAAACCCCGTCTCTACTAAAAAGAAATACAATTAAAAAAATTAGCCAGGTATCAGTGTGGTGGCACGCGCCTATAGACCCAGCCACTCTGGAGGCTGAGGCAGGAGAATCGCTTGAACCTAGGAGGCAGAGGTTGCAGTGAGCAGAGATCGCACCACTGCACTCCAGCCTGGGTGACAGAATGAGACTCTGTCTCAAATAAAAAAATAAAAATAAATAAGTAATATAAATAAAGAGGTTTAGGCATTCTTAAGCAGGGAGAAGTGGCTCATGAGAGAAATTTCCAGCACAAAACATGGTGCAAAGAAGGTGATCAGAAACCATCCACTGGTTGAGTGTGTGGGAAAACGAAAACATGCAAGGGACGAGGAGGGCATAACTAAAGTGCAAGCTCTGGAAGGTTTGGTTGAGATCTACAACAAAATTATTTTTGAAGCCTCATTTTAAAGTCAGCACTGGTGTCTCTTTTCTCTGAAAGGAGACCAAATCCACCTATCCTGGGCTCCTGAAAAGGCACTCCCAAACCACTATTTTATTCTATTCCTTTCCTTTCTTCTCTCCTCTTTCCAGCTAATGAGATGAGACATTCCAATGTCATTATTCCACATCCCCAAGTCTAGAGAGGGCACATATCCATTTGCTCCTCCTCAACTTCCCCATTGGGCCTTTCTCTTATTTTAAACACCAGTTTGGGCCAGACGCGGTGGCTCACGCCTGTAATCCCAACACTCTGGGAGGCTGAGGCGGGCAGCCTGAGATCTTGGCCTGAGCCAAGATCATGCCACTGCACTCCAGCCTGGGTGACAGACCAAGACTCTGTCTCAAAAACAAACAAAAACAAACACAAACACCAGTTTGGTGGCGTTAAGTGGTGGTTTCCTATATCATTCTTTTGTTTTCAAGGTCATATCTCTATTGTTCATCTGATTACAAAAGCAGTATGAGCTTCCCAAATCTAATAAATTATACGAGCATCTAAGTCAGAAAAAGAATAAATGACCTATCCTACCACGCAGTCATAAGCATTGATGGTTCATTCCTATACAATCTCATAGACGTTTAGGAAGGCATTTTAGACACTTAGGCCTGTCCCTGCAGTAAAAAACACTGAATACCTCCCACTTAGGGCCTGTCTTTCAAAAGCAAGCTTCTTAAAAAGGAAAATAAAATACAGTAGCAGACGAATAATTAAATAGAAACCCAAGAATTTCAGCATTCTAGAATCACGGCACAGCACAAGTTCTTGAATTTCTGCAGCATAACCTTAATCTGCACCTTTCATCAGGCCTCAGTTTATCAAGCAACAAAATAATGGCAGTAATAACTCTGAAGGTAACAAGAGAATGGCTTCAATAAACTGCACAGTAAACCTCAGATAAAATGTTATGTCAGGTCAAAGCAATAATTTGTTTTGTTACAGCTGACTGTAATTAGTTAACAACACCATTACTTTTCCCCTTACCCATATTTTATTTACTCTTTCAAGTTATACCAGGCTTTAAGAATAAATATGAGATATGTATTGGAAAAGTTGTTCCATACCAGTATTTAAATAATAAAACCATTTGAACTTTGGAAGAGTAGATGTCTACCTTTACACTGTTAAAATGTTTAACCACTTTTAAAAAGTTAGATTTGACAAAGTACCATGTTTATAAACCACCAAACTCTATTTGTTAAAATTCCAAATTAAAATTCTCAGTCAGTGTTAAAAACAGCTTTATAACTCCTCGCATTTATATGAACACTACTAGTACATGGAAAGGTTGAAATTAGTATCTGTCGAGCTACATGTCTCTAATCCAATGGTTTGCACCATGTGGTCCCTCAATCAGTAGCGTCAGCATTACCTGGGAACGTAAAGAAATGCAAATTCTCGGGTCCCACTATAGACTGATAAAATCACACACCCCGAGAATGGCACCCAGCAATCTGAATTTTACTAAGCTCTCCAGAGATTTTTTTTTTTTTTTAATTTTTTATACAGATGAGGTCTCATCATGTTGCCAAGGCTGGTCTCACACTCCTGGGCTCAAGATATCCTCCTGTCTCAGC